GTAATGGAGAAGGACAGGTCCGTACAAGCACGTGGGCAGCTTCAAGCAGAAGCAGGGCCTGGTTCCACGTGGTGATGGAGGAGGACAGGCTTGGTGCTACACCTGGGTGGGGTGTGCAGTCGCTCGTGCATGTTTGGGTGCAGCGGGGCTCCTCCAGGCACATGCTGGTGCAGGTTCTCCTTTGTCCATGTCCTGTGGAGGCTGAGAACTGTGGTTGAGTCTTCTTGTTGGAGGGGATCCCAGCGGGTGTTGGGTGCCCTTTGGTCCTGGCTGTACCCAGTGTGGTGCTCTGTAGGATCTCAGCCTTGCTGGTCACAGCAGTCACTGGTTTTAGCATTGCCCTTGATAAATGTAGGAAGTGGAATTGGCTCTTTTCCACCATTCTCCCCAGGGATGGGGGCGTATGAAGATATTTAAATGCCTACCTCCTGTTTATTACACTGGTCATCAGGCACCTAAATATGCCCACAGACCTGGGCATAACACCCTCAACCCATTCAAAGAGGACAGCATCATCCTTGAACATTATAATAATCTGAAGACCTTGGTTTCAGATCGACTGTAAAGTGAGTATGTTCACCTACAGAAAATACCATGTGCCACTCTGTTGTACAGCGCAGAAGGACAACAGACTTCTGGTAACTTTTCCACTTCTCAAGACCCTTTTTAAAAAAGGTAACTGAAAATCAGGCCCTAATGTGCCTATCTTATATGTGTGACCTGGTTTATGAAGGCACTGGGCATCCAAAGTTGTGTATTAGCATCAACTGAAGGAATAAAAACATTTGGGGTCTCCATCCCTTTGGAGAAATTAGGCCATTTCCAAAAAATCCAGCCTTATTATACACAAACTGATGGATTTAAAAAAAAAAAAAAGTCAAAAAGAGCATGTAGTTTTCCTTTATTTGGACTATGATGGATGCTTCTGTTATATCTCTGTCACCAGCACTTTCCTTCCTCAAACCAAAGCGTAGCATTGTCCTATTGTCCTGAGAAGTGCTGACTTGGTTCATCTCTGTGGGATTAACTCCTGCGTAGCCACGTGTAGTCCACTGGTCACTACTGGTGACCTACTGCATCTCCCTTTCTGACTGTTTTGTAGGTTTCTGCCACTAAACTGGGTGCTGAGGGAAATGGTGACACACCATCAGGATGCACCTGCTGAGGGAAATGGTGACACACCATCAGGACGCACCCAGATGTCTCCTCAGGACGGCAGATGATGGTCCATCTTCACCAAAGGTATTGCCAAGGTCAGAAAGGCCTACCCCCTCATATCATGACCACCTCCAAAAGGAAGAAAAGGCAGGGGCTGGCACTGGGTGGGCTTTAAAGGCCTCTTCCAACCCAAACAATTCCATGATTCTATGACACGGAGGGGTTTCCCACAGTGCAGACCTGCGCTGTGGGGTATGGCCAGTCTTACTGGGAGCTGTGGGTCCATCCTAACTGATTGCAAGGCTCTTTACAATGTTTGCATATAAAAAGTTTGCAGCCACAGAAATGCTGAGGGAACATAACGTGATTCATGCTTTTACAACAAGCGCTATGAGGTAAGTTGACCTGATTACAGAATAGTGTATTTCCAGCTTTCCCTTCAGTTTTGGCAAACTCCCACAAGAGATATAATTCTGATTTTAGTTCCTCGCTGAAGAGGCCATGTCTGACAAGTAGATATTGATTATTATTACTTGTGTTTTGATAACGTTAGAAGTATCCAACAAGATCAACCATATACTCGTGTTTGTCCCAGACTAGCTACAATTGTTAAAGAAAAGTGGGTGGAAGGATATCTTGTACAAGCATGGAAAACACTGACAGTTTACAAATGTCAGGTCATTCTCCTGATTTTTGTCATTGAACTATTTCCATAGCTCCTCATATATTGAAAGAACAAATTCACAAGAAATACAGCATAAAAATAAAAGTTGTATGGGAATTTCTGGCAGTTATCTGAGTTCCAGAACCCTATGGCTGCTTGTCCTGTGTTATCTCCTGGATCATCTGTGCCTGTCATGTATTTCATAGAATCATAGACTGGTTTGGGTTGGAAGGGACCTTAAAGATCATCTAGTTCCTACCAACCCAAAACATGTATTTGACAATACATGTTTTGTCCAGTCAAACAGGCTTCCTTAGAAAGAAAGAGATCATGTTATTGCCCAACTAGGGTTCTGTGTGTTTAATGCCAAGGTGGTCAAAGCTCTTTCAGGATCTCACAAAGTACAATTCACATGATGTTTTTTAGAAATTAACTTTAGCTTGTTTATATGAGTAAATGCATTTGCAAATCAAGACACAAGGGCAAGTTGGTTTGCTTTTGAGAAATCTCAGGATTGTTTCAGTGCCAACTGCGTCAACGAACACCAGTAGATTTGCAAAGGAAAACTGTAATTACTGGATTACTTGGTGCTATAATATTCAATATTATGGTAATGAGGGATGAATTAAACATGCTATTGCATTGAGGAACCCCTGCCTTCTAGACTCAACTTCACGGAGGCTTTAATTGGGTATTTAGCAGGAGGCAGTTGGATACATACTAGGGCATTTTGTAAGTACTCTGGCAACATTTTGTCTAATCCTTTTTGCTTCTGTACCCCCAAAAGTAGATGTGAGTCTTGCCCTCTGCTCCCAGACTGCATAGATGGGGGAAAAAAGAAGAGTAAAACCAGCTGTGATTTTGGTGTGACCTATGCACTATTATAGGAATTGTTTAGATCTGTCTCTTTTGGTGGGAAATAGAATCACAGAATGACAATATTATAGGAATTGTTTAGATCTGTCTCTTTCAGTGGGAAATAGAATCAGAGAATGACAAAATGCTATGGGGTTGGAAGGGACCTCTGGAGATCATCTCCTCCAACCCCCTGCCACAGCAGGGTCACCCACAGCAGGTCCCACAGGAATGTGTCCAGGTGGGTTTGGAATGTCTCCAGAGAAGGAGCCTCCACCACCTCTCTGGGCAGCCTCTGCCAGGGCTCTGCCACCCTCACACCAAACAAGTTCCTCCTCATGTTGAGATGGAGCTTCTTATTCAAGTTTGTGCCCGTTCCCTCTTGTCCTGTCCCTGGGCACCGCTGAGAAAAGCCTGGTCCCAAACCAGCCAGCACCTTTCGTTTTATTGTTGTTAGAAAGACAAAGGTCAAATACAGTTGGAGCAGGAAGTTCTGTGGTTTGTGGTGGTCTTTAGCTGCCTGGAAAGTTCATTCTGCAGATTCAGAGCTCTAAAAAAACCAGTTTTAAGTTCTGCGCAAGAGTTTTTTTCTTACTCTAGTGATTTCTGGTACCTCAGAGGATTGTGGTTGAGAGCGGCGAAGCTGATCATAGTCTTCACTCTGCAACTCTCTGTGGCCTTTTGTAGTGGCCACGAAGGGTCTCAAAGAGCCTCAACTACGTTTGAAATGCCACGGATGGCCAGGGTAGGGAGTAAGGGACGAGTCAGATCCATTCATAGCAACCCACCTTCTGCTATAATCTTCTACAATATCTGGAGTTTGGTATCATGACATGCAGAGTGAAGAACATCGCTTCACCTCCCCAGGCCCCAGCCGTGGAGGGTGTCAGGGGGAGTTTTTCTCAACAGGGGGAGAGTCTGACCATTGCTGGTTCCCTGCAGAAGCTGCTCTGTGTGGGAGATCAGAGCTACTACCAGGCCCCAATAGTGGTCTTGTACCCTTAGCTGCACAGTGGCCACAAACTCTCCAATAAATGTTTTCCTCCATTATTTATCAGAAACTTCTCTTTTACTGCAAGTCAACTTCTGTTCTCATACACGCAGAGGCTGCTGATTGCAGCAAAGGTCAATAGGCATTTTTGATGCTGATTTTAATAAGTGTATGTTTGAGAACCCTTTGCATATGCTATTGTGCTTTTTCTTCATCGAGGCATGAATACAATGCTTGCTGGTTTAGAAAAAAAAGTGTATTAATTATGTGAAACACTGAGCCCAGCCCAAACATCAAAAGGACATGTAGGTGCTCACCTTCCCACTGGAGGTTTGCTTGATGAACCCAGTGATCTGTGCAATATTATGCATGACCATATTCCTCGTCCTTAACTTCTGCTGGTATGTATATATGTATTAGATCTGAAATCATTATGATTCCCACAATTCTTCCATGCGTTCCCAACTGCAAAATTCATGCTTCAGTTAAAAAAAAACCCCTCAATTCATGCTGGTCCTGGGTTCATTATTTGTATGTTTTGCTCTGGTGATCACAGAATGAGGAAGATGTTGAGCCTTCAGGGAGAAGGAATGGAAAGAAGGATGTATGAGGTGAAGGAAAATAAAGGGCTTTTATATCTTTGTTTTCAAGTAGAAGGTAATTCATTGATATTTACGAGAAGAATCCCTAACAGATTTTAAATTAACCTTCACAATGTTGACAACAGCAGTGTTTACCAACTGGAGGGGCAGCCCCCATTTCTAATAAATCTAAGCCTACTGGCAGCAGCAACTGCATTTCTCACTTGCCTGTTGGGAAGATTTGGGGCACTAGAGTTTTTGCTTTGTGTCTCCTAGGGGTTTAAAAAAATCGCTGAATTAAACAATTTAAAAAAGTGACCAGCGAAGTGACTCTGAGGTGTGAAAAAACATCTCAGGTCTCACCCCCCCCCTCCCACCACATTTGAGCCCGTTCTCCCGAGTTGGTGTGCAGGCTCAGAAGGGGAAAGAGACTGAAGTGAAGGGAATGGCTCCTTTGGAAAATGGAACTTGTTGAAAATACAGCTCTGCATTGCTGACACTCTGTTAAGCACTAGCAGCGGGCAGTGATTTGGACTCGTTTGTCTCTCTTCAAATGAAACTGTTGGTAGGTCTGTGCCAGCATTAACTGGTGAATTCTTCTAAGCAACATCAATCGGTGGCAATGACAACATTCCAGAAGGCTTATTTAAAATATGGAGTGTATTGTGTAATACTTTTTTATTTGTCTGTTGCACAATCTATTTGCTGATACTTGTTTCTTTCCCTCCCTCCCTCTCCCCTAGGCTATCAAACAAAGCTGCCCAACCTTACACTCATCCATCAACCTCGAGTTATTAAGAGAATAACTGCAGAACATTTACAAGTGGATGGGATGGAGTCCTGGCTGCTTTTCAAGAACACGGAGTCAGTGCTTTGCAAAAAACTTTGCAAGATGGCAAATTTTCTCATGCTGCCTGTTCCTTGCTCTGCTGGGACCTGCTGGAAGGAATGGTGTCTTCAGTTTAGGGTAACTAATCTAGATTGATGCCAAAACTGTTAATCATATCATATCTAGTATCAGATCATAATTTTATCTGAGTAGAATATATTATTTTTTTTAACTACTTCTTATAAAAGGCTTTGGGATGTATTGGAGGGAAGGAAGGGATCAGGATGAGTGCAGGCATCTGAGGGCTTGTGTTATATGACTTTCTCAAGGATAGGCTTATATTATCCATGCATGAAAGTAGAGGCTAAGAGATTTTAAGTGTAATAAAATGAAGGTGAAATGGATCTTTTTCTCACTGAGTAGAAGACAGAGGATGTGATGGAGTGCAGTTGCTCTGCAATAATCTGAAAATCTGACCAACAGCTTAGGGTGTGCACAAAGACACCTCAGCTGGCACGGTCCAATTTACTCCCACAGCTCAAAGAGCTGGGAAAAAGAGTGCAGAGGCTCCACAGAAGCCAGCCCTGAACCAGAAGTGACACAGCCCTGTGTGCTGTGCCAGCTGAAGATGGTTATTCTGCCTCTCGGTCCCACTTGGTGTATCTGCAGGGAGCTTTGCTGCACTGTGTGGCCTTGCCAAATCAGCTCGGTGCTTGCTTGGGGATCTCTGCATCGTGTTCTCCACCATGTAAACGTACCCTTGGAAGTTAAGCTAATCCATTTGACTTCCAGAGGAGCAGGAGAATGCTTCCTGGCTAACCAGCATTGCTCTAATTAAGTGGGACTTTGGGAAGAACAAAACGAGTAGCTCTGTACAGTGACTTCCCAGACAAAAATATCCCAACAGGCACTGAAATGCCGATCCCTTTGAGCATCCTATATTCTCTTCAGTTAACAGCTTCAGGTTCTGCTGTGCTGGCTTAGAGGCTTGCAAAATTGGGGTGCATTAAAAAGAGTGTGACCAGCAGGTGGAGGGAGGTCATCCTGCCCCTCTGCTCTGCCCTGGGGAGGCCCCATCTGGAGCACTGGGACCAGTTCTGGGCTCCCCAGTTCCAGAAGGACAGGGAACTGCTGGAGAGGGGACAGCAGAGGAACACAAAGATGATGAGGGGCCTGGAGCATCTCTCTGCTGAGGAAAGGCTGAGGGACTTGGGTCTGTTTAGTCTGGAGAAGAGAAGACTGAGGGGGGATCTGATCAACACCTATAAATCCTTCAAGGGTGGGTGTCAGGAGGATGGGGCCAGGCTTTTCTCAGTGGTGCCCAGGGACAGGACAAGAGGGAACGGGCACAAACTGGGACATGGGAAGTTCCATCTCAACATGAGGAGGAACTCGTTGGTGTGAGGGTGGCAGAGCCCTGGCAGAGGCTGCCCAGAGAGGTGGTGGAGTCTCCTTCTCTGGAGACATTCCAAACCCACCTGGACACGTTCCTGTGGGACCTGCTGTGGGTGACCCTGCTGTGGCAGGGGGTTGGAGGAGATGATCTCCAGAGCTCCCTTCCAACCCCACAGCATTCTGTGATTCCCTGAAATCCAGAGATCAGCAAGCAGTTAAGAAGCTGCTAAGAGGGACCCATCAGCTGTCAGGAGCTGCCACTGGGCATGGGATGATCTGGGGAGAGGCTCTGGAGTCCAGAGAAGAAGCCAGCACAGTCAGCCTCAGTGGGAGGTACCCAGAGATACCTCTTTTGTTGTGGGTCCATTTTCTCTGCCTTGCCCTTATTCTAAGTAGATCAGGCTTTGCTTTAGCACGGCTGCTTGGTGATGGGCACTGCTCTGCTGCTGGAGGCAGGAGAACTGAAGATGAGTCAGGACCATGAGGTCATCCTGGCTGACCACAGGGATCCAGGGCTTGGGATAATCACGGGGCTCCGTGGCAGGAGACGTGGAAGCTGGGGTGCCTGCACCAGGAGAGGGGGCATTTGATGAGATCAGGAATGTAATTTACACAATTCTAATGATGAAAGTTACGAACTTCTGTTTGTAACTTTTTTTTATTGCATTTAGAAATTCTTCTTTTCTGCGTCAGTTCAGGAATTTGCCACAACTTTTTATTTATAGTCCCTGGTAAATTTGGCATGTCAGAGGTCCTTTAATACCGGGAAACTGCTAAAATATGACGAATTTTCAGCAGCTCCGGCACCGTCTGTGCTTTGTCCACTCAATAACAACACTGTTTGGTGACTCCACCCTGCTCTCCTGGCAGTCAGACAGCTTCTACCAGCCTGCTCCATGTTGGGAAGGGCCTCAGCAGCAGCACAGAGAGTAACGTTAGGGAGCATTTGCCAAAGTTGTGAAGAAATATCACAAATTGAGCCACGTGGAGGGTGAATTCTTGTGACCTGCTCTCCGCAGGAGGGAAGGTGAATGAAGATCAATGGTTCCTCTCCCTCCAACTGCCCTCTTCTCCCTCCCTTCGTCAGTTCATCTCACGTCCCCCCTCTGGCTTTTCTTCCTGCTCTCCGTGATTCGTATTTCCACCCTGAGACCTCATCTATCTCATTAATTAGGCTTCCCTCTGCTTCCACTCCCTCCTGATGTGGCCTTCAACCCTGGCTCAACGCTTTTAACAAAATCCCTCATTATCAACCTGGTATTCATTAAGCACTTTTCCCTCTCTCTTTCTTAGTTTTCCGTCAGCCCTGTCCTTATCCTTTGCTTTATCATTTGGTTCCCCCGTTACTCCCAAGCCATGAGTGACCTCAAAGCCTTCTTTGCTCTTGATCTACCACTTCAGTGCTTCTCTTTGAGCTTCTCTGTTGCACTGACACCCTGAGTGCTCCCTATAACCCCCACTGTGGTCTGAGGAACACTGTGTCCACATGAAGAAGCACTGAATGTTTATAGAAGTTAACCCTGATTTTAGGGACCATATGTCATGCTGGTTCAGGGAAAAATCAAGTACCAGTTGTCTTCTGTCAGTTCTTCTATACATTATTTCAGATCCACCCCTAAGCAAAATATTCCTATTTCCTTACAATAATTAGTAAGTACGCCTATTATATTGATTCCTCTGTTTACTCTCTGATTCCTGGGGCAGATCATCTACCCAAGCAGAAATGCCCCCCGTTTAACCCTCCTAGATTAGCTCCAACCCAGGGATCAGCTGCTTAGACCTCGCTCTGCCCTTGTTGGCTTCTTTGTCACCCCGTTTCATGCCATCATCTCCCACTCTGCGGCCAGGGGCAAGCTCCCTGTTAAACTGTATAAAACTGCCCTCTCCCAAATTACTCCTTGTGCTTCTCCCTTTGTGGCCGTTGCCTCAAAAGCTGTCCCATGTCCCAGCATCTCAGAGGGCAGAGAGGCTTATTCTTTTCAGGACAAGCTGTGCCAGGCCAGAAAAGAGCAGCACAGTTAGTTTCATAGAATCATAGATTCACAGAATGATATGGGGTTGGAAAGGAACTCTGGAGATCATCTAGTCCAACCATCTGCCACAGGAGGTCCACCCAGAGCAGGTCCCACAGGAACACGTCCAGGTGGGTTTGGAATGTCTCCAGAGAAGACTCCACCACCTCTCTGGGCAGCCTCTGCCAGGGCTCTGCCACCCTCACAGCAAAGAAGTTCCTCCTCACATTGAGATGGAACTTCTTATATTCAGGTTTGTGCCCGTTCCCTCTTGTCCTGTCCCTGGGCACCACTGAGAAAAGCCTGGCCCCATCCTCCTGACACCCACCCTTGAAGGATTTATAGGTGTTGATCAGATCCCCCCCTCAGTCTTCTCTTCTCCAGACTAAACAGACCCAAGTCCCTCAGCCTTTCCTCAGCAGAGAGATGCTCCAGGCCCCTCATCATCTTTGTAGCCCTCTGCTGTCCCCTCTCCAGCAGTTCCCTGTCCTTCTGGCACTGGGGAGCCCAGAACTGGTCCCAGTGCTGCAGATGGGGCCTCCCCAGGGCAGAGCAGAGGGGCAGGATGACCTGTCAACCTGCTGGTCATACTCCTCCTGATGCCCTTGGCCTTCTTGGCCACAAGGGCACATTGCTGGCTCATGGGCATCCTATTGTCCACCAGTACATCTCTGAAATTCTGAGTATATCAAAAGGACCTTATGCTGATGCTACTTTCAGTCGATGTTTATTTGTATTTCTGCTGTCCCCATAGGTTTTCCCCATCTTCCCCTTCCCTATAAGGTCCAGAGACATTATCATCACATCCCACATGGGCCAAATCATGCCGATGAGCCAAGAGGTGAGGAGAAGTCTAATCTGGGCCACACAACTCTCACTTGTGTATCTAGGCCACCCAGCCCTTTGTTATTTCAGGTAATGAGTTCCAGATAAATCTCCAAACCATTAAGAAGACAGTATCAGTTGCTGCTGTGTTGTTTTCTCTGCTACCGAATTCCTAGGAGCATTGATTTCCAAGCTGATACGAGTGGGTTTGTTTTTTTATTTCATTGTCTCACAGACTAGAGCAGTGACTTTCCAGGCCAAACCAGGAACAGTTGCAAGATTTTTCTACAGAGGGACCATTCACATAAAATAAATGCATTGGGCATCTGTAAGAAACAGAGCAGACAATTCTTGAAAGCAAAAACTCTCGGCTGACATCTTGGCTGGAATTAAAAGTCCTGTTGTGTGATGCTGAAAAACTTCAACAACCCTCTGCTGGAAGCTGTTTGGGAGAAAACGAAGTTCTAGTTCTCTTTCTCCCTCCCTCATTTTTAAGGTGAATTTAACTGTGTTAGAGGGAGCCAAACTGAGACCATGATGATGGAATGATCCAGTGCTTCTCGGAGATTGCAAACCCCACCTTGCTGTCTGTTGTTGGTGGGCACAATCCGTCCTCAGACAGATGGTTTCTGTGGGTCACCATCAGAGCTGTGAACTCACAACGACGTACCGTCCCGATCAGAGTGCATTAAAACCATGAAACACTTGAACATAAAACCCATAAATCTTGATTTGCCATCATCAGTCCCCTGAAGCAGCTGGTGCTGGCAGAACAGCTCTTTTCAAACGGCAGAGCAGCTGCTCAGCTGGTGTAAATCAGCACAGGACCTTGTAGAAGGAGGAGTAGAAGTAGAAAAATAGAAGTAGAAAAACAGTGGTACTGCTTAAAGGTTGTGTTTTCAAGAGATCAGTGAGTAACTAAAAGTTTAACATGCCCGCTGGGAAGGGTATAAAAGAAGAGTCTAATTTGCAGAAAAGAAGATTTAAATTATATCTGGAAAAAAAAGAAAAAAAGATATTTAGTGGCTTAGCACCAGGCAGGCGACGTTGCAGATCTTCACTGGAGGTTTGTAAGAACTGAATAATTAGACCAACATGTGTCACACATGGGTGGATCCTGTTCTGGTGAAGTGGATGGGTTCTGGAGATCTCTTCAGCGCTTGCACAGCATGGAGCAATGGACCTCGCCGTTGACACTGGTACGGGATTAGCAAAACACCTTTGGCTCCTGGCTTTGGGATCAAGAGGGGCCAGAAGATTTGCAGGTCGCTTCCATCCCATGTGTTAACCTTCGTCTTACTCAGCCAAAGCTGCTCAGCCTGCACCTGATTTCTGGGCACAGCCAGGAGAGGAGACAGGCAGTGCACTTCCATCGCTCTAGCTAAGTCACTAGCAAATTTTAAATCATTCCAGTAAAGTTTTTAATATTCCTTTTTCCTGATAAAATGAGCTATAATACCTATTAACTATGTTGTAGTTAACTATACTATATAAGTATCTAGTTATTACTGTATAACTATACTATATACTGTGTAACTATATAAAATATAGTTATATATCGTTTGATATTTTATATAGTTATATAACTATATGTTTTATAACGATATAAAATATAGTTATAAAACCGTATACTGTAATTACCCATGAAATAGCTATAACAGCCATGTGTGGTTTTTGTTTTTTTTTCAGAAGGCATTTTTATAGAGTTAAAGCAATGGAAAGGCTTCTCTTTGCTTCAGAAATGGAACTGCAATCAGAATTAAAGGGAAAATGCACCAAAATGAAAGGGATAATGTTAGGGTATTTTGACATAAGTGTCAAGAGTAAGTGATAGGCACAGCAGAGACTTAATGGTATCATACATCTGGAGTTCCCAGTGTATGCCTTTCCAGTGAATTTTACTAATTCACAGTAAATCACTGTGTGATGGGGCAGCCACAGCTTCTCTGGCCAACCTGGGCCAGGCTCTCACCACCCTCACACCAAACAACTTCTTCCCCACATCTCAGCTCCATCTCCCCTCTTTCAGGGTCAAACCCTTCTCCCTCCTCCTAGGGCTCCCCTCCCTCATAAAGTTCCTCATAAAATTGTAGTTCCTCCAGATCCCCTTGCTGTTAGTTATATAACTATATGTTTTATAACGATATAAAATATAGTTATAAAACCGTATACTGTAATTACCCATGAAATAGCTATAACAGCCATGTGTGGGTTTTTTTTTTTCTTTCAGAAGGCATTTTATAGAGTTAAAGCAATGGAAAGGCTTCTCTTTGCTTCAGAAATGGAACTGCAATCAGAATTAAAGGGAAAATGCACCAAAATGAAAGGGATAATGTTAGGGTATTTTGACATAAGTGTCAAGAGTAAGTGATAGGCACAGCAGAGACTTAATGGTATCATACATCTGGAGTTCCCAGTGTATGCCTTTCCAGTGAATTTTACTAATTCACAGTAAATCACTGTGTGATGGGGCAGCCACAGCTTCTCTGGCCAACCTGGGCCAGGCTCTCACCACCCTCACACCAAACAACTTCTTCCCCACATCTCAGCTCCATCTCCCCTCTTGCAGGGTCAAACCCTTCCCCCTCCTCCTAGGGCTCCCCTCCCTCATAAAGTTCCTCATAAAATTGTAGTTCTTCCGGATCCCTGTGCTGCTCAGGCCACTGGAGTGGAATTGTTTTGAGGCAGGAAAACTCTTTACCAGGCAGCACGGTTCAGACTGAGCCCAAGCTTGCGCAAGGGTGTTTTTTTCAAATTAGGAGAAGTCTGAGAAACCCGTGGTCTCAAGGGGCAGGTTTCTCCAAGGCAAAGCCCTATGGCCTGATGAAGGAGGGATGGGGAGACCACACTGTTTGTGCATGAAGAACATAGCAGGCCAGATCCCTTGTGCCCCATCTCTGGAGGGGTTCAAGGCCAGGTTGAAGGGGGCTTGGAGCAACTTAGTCTGGTGGGAGGTGTCCCTGCCCAGGGCTGGGGGGGTTGGAACTGGTGTTTTGGGGGACTATTCTGCTGGATGGCAGAGTCCCAGTGCAGCTGGGGACACGCTCAGTGGTGGTGTTATCTCTGGCCACATTCAGGGTTGTCAGTGCTGTGTTATCTCTGGGTAACACCATCTGGATGTCCCCGTGTCACCCTCTCCAGCGCCTGTACCATACGGTTCTTGCCATTGGCTGGGGTGTTCCAGCCCTTCTGTTTCACCCTGCAATTTGTCTGAATTGAGCACTTCTCCTAAATGTACATTGTGCCATTTCAAAGGAGGTAAAAAAACCCGTTTTTACTCTGTCCTTGTAACTTCTAGTTGGAGCCTCACAGGGTAAAGTACAGTAGATTGTTATCTTCTGGCCTTCAATAGTAAGAAAGAACTATTCATGGTACTTTTTGTACCACGAAGACTTTGTCACTGAGAAAGGAGAAGCACCTGGAGATTCAGGCTGTTTTTAAGTGGAAGACTGAAAGAGGAAACTGTGAAGTAGGAGTCAGGGTGTGAGAAAATACTGATTTTCATGTAAATTAAATTTTTCTGTAGATTGATTTATTTTTTTTTTTAAGCCAAAATATTTCCAAAGTCATATCTGTTTTGTCAAGAAGAGTAGCCAAAGTCATATCTGTTTTGTCAAGAAGAGTGGCAGACAAAGTACTAGAAGAAGGAGGTACAGATCATGCTCTGTGAGGAGGTGATTTGGTAATTTCCTATATTAATATCCTTTGTTGTAATCCAAGTGTTTAAAGATGGAAGGATTTGTAAGTGAGCAGCACAAAAGACGTTTGTGTGTGGGATAATGGAAGGCCGATGCTCTACTCCTAACCCACATGTGCCTTCCAACGTGGAAGAGCAAGAAGCTTAGTCTGCAAAAAGATGTCTTAATGCGTTTTTGACAAAAGAATAAATTGAATGACATTATTTTCACCGCTGAAGAACAAAAGCGAAAAATCAGGTTTCAATACTTAAATGTGGCCACAATCAACGTAGGTGGCACTTTTGGCCCATGCTGATCTTGCCACGGGATTGCAGTAATGCTCCATTGGAACAAGTCTGGAGGCAGTGAAAAAGAGGTGGTAGCACATGGTGTGTGCGGCAGAAGGCAAAGGCAAAGCTGGTGGAGAAAGTCTGGGGTCAAAAGCTGGAGGAGATAGAGGAGGTTGGGTTTTTTCTCTGCCTAGATCTGAGGTAATTTCTGTCTGTTTGAGGGATTCATCTCCTCCTTGGCATCCTTCTGAAGCAGTCTGTATATCAGGTGGGCTGGTCACACAACCGGAGTGTGTCTGGGAAGTACCAGCCCTGCCACACACATGCAGACCGGGTCTGCTGGGTGGCAATGTCTGGAGAGAAAAGGCCCCCTGAAAAAAAAATATGCATGGGCAGGCTGTGCAGAAGAGAGAAGGACAGTAGGAGAAAGGGGTTAGCAGGAGAGAGGAGAAATGGGCAGTGGAGACTTTGAGATGGCAGCATGATGCCCAAAAGGTGTTTTTCAAGCAGAGCACTGAACGTAAACATGAACACCCAGAGAAGCTGTAGGTCTGTAAACTTGTGGTGTCACCTGGCTTGAGGTTCAGGAAAGGCACGTCGGGCACCTCCGAAGTGGCAATGCAAGAAGACCCCTGTACTCTCCCCCTGGACTGGGCACTGGTGAGGCCCCACCTCGAGGGCTGGGTCCAGTTTTGGGCCCCTCACCACAAAAAAGCCATTGAGGGGCTGGAGCGGGTCCAGAGAAGGGCAACGGAGCTGGTGAGGGGTCTGGAGCACAAGTCTTGTGAGGAGAGGCTGAGGGAGCTGGGGGTGTTCAGCCTGGAGGAAAGGAGGCTGAGGGGAGACCTTCTGGCTCTCTCCAACTCCCTGAAAGGAGGGAGTAGCCAGGGGGGGTCGGTCTCTGCTCCCAAGGAACAGGCCATGGGACAAGAGGAAATGGCCTCAAGTTGCACCAGGGGAGGTTTAGGATGGATTTTAGGAAAAATTTCCTCATAGAAAGGGTTATGAAGCCTTGGAATGGGCTGCCCAGGCCAGTGGTGGAGTCACCATCCCTGAGGGACATGGGTTAGTGATGGTTTTTGTCAGTGTTGGGTTGATGGTTGGACTTGATGATCTGAAAGGTCCCTTCCAACCTGGACGATTCTATGGTTCTAAGACCCCATGCAGCTGCTCCCAAAGCTGGTGGCTCCCTGTGCTCACAAGGGAGGTCCTGGCATTGGCCACAGCACCTCTGGCTCTGCTTGGCTGCTCGGCCAGAAGCCCTGCAGCCCACGTGGCTGGGTGCTGGGAAGGGCAGGATGCAGGAAGCTGGCAGCTCCTGGCCCCCATCCCTCGGGGCTTGTCCCACCGCTGGTTCCCAGAGCACACCTAACGCCCATGGACGGCGTTGGGCTGCCCGCGGAGCTCAGCAAAGGGCCAAGCTCTTTGAAAACATCCCTTGGTTATGATGGGGGAGGATCCTGATGGCAGGATACTGTGTGGGGTTGGTTTCTTTTTTAGTTAATGGCGCGGTGGTTAGGGTGGCTGCCCAGGGAAACCTCAATTAGGTCTTCCTCAGCCTGGGGAAGCTCAAGCGTACCTTTCCCAAGAGAGCAGCCGGCCGGCTGTGGGAGGAGAAGAAACTTGGAGCTTGTTGAAGCTGGGTCTTGGCAGAATAAGTGATACATGAGTCAAAGGGCCAGGAAAGGGAGCAACCAGGGGCAGCGTGGCTTGGCATATCCCCAGTTCCCTGGCTGAGCCCATGCAAAAGACGGTCCAGCACCAGATGTGAAGGTTGCCTTGCTTAGAAGAAGACATTAACCTTTCCCCACAGAGCCGGGCTCCTGCATGTCCCTCAGCCTTTCTTCAGAATCCATTTTTTCTCGGTGGCTGCAATATACATGTTTGAACCTGCTCAGGCTAAGGATGGCACTAAGGGCAGCTATTTCATGAGCTATTTCTTGCTTTAGCTGGCAGGATGTCATACAGGACTTCGGCAGTGGCATCAC